AGATGCCAAATACGGATTCAATTTTTTTTGTTTTTTCAATGTGTTGTGAGCTGCTTTTTTATTTCAATAGTTCCCCCCCCCCCCCGAATATAATAATACAAACAGATTTGGGACTATACAGATTGTAACATTTGTCATGCCAATATTTGTTGTACAAGTTCACAGTATATATAATTGAGTGCACCAGTTATGTGAATATATTGTAGAAAAGCACAATGTGTTTTGATATTGTCTGGGCTGTGTAGGTAATTGTACAATCTGATGCTGAGGCATTGATTGGTTCTTGTCACTAGATGCACGTCTCCTGTACCTATAATAGGCCATTATACACCCAAGTAAAGTCTCAAGGGATCAGCAGCCAATCACAGCCAATCACAGCCAATCACAGCCAATCACAGCCAATCACAGCCAATCACAACTTGTGATGACAAATCCTGAGAGCTGCCCGAGTGGAAGCATGTATACTTGGCAGAATTTGATACTGTCAACAAACCAGCTGTACTCTGATTGGTGTGAGTGTTAGGGTTGGGTAGCCAATCAGCAACAATCTTGTGAAGAGCTTGAAAGCTATTACTCTATACATGCCTGCATTCTATTATCTCACACCTGTGTATGAAATACTACAGTCTCTCCTGCAATTTCATGTCAAAACATTTGGTCAATAATTTTTTTTTTTGTAATTTATTATTTTTGTGTACGCTAATGTATTCTGTTACATTTGTACTTAATGTGTGAATTCATTTCCCTTTTTTCTGCAAAAACGTGTATGTATTGTTGACACAAATAATACAAGTAATACAAATTTTGTTTTGTCGGAAAATCCGTTGGTGTAATTTATGTATATACATACAAGTAGCAGTATCAGTAAGCGTGTTATATTAATACATTTTAATTGGCCTATTCTGTTTATGCAAATTATTTTCTAGGTTTCTTTCAACAATAACAAATTAGCCATATTTTTTTTCCCGAAAAAAAGCTCATGTGAAATACCCACTGAACTACCAGCTAGACTACTGTAATTCTATCAATTCGACCATGAAAAAATGATTATTGTTGGTGGCCGAATCCTTGTCGCTCAATGTCTAGAGAACCGTGAATCCCAGCATGCATTGCAGTTTTGAATTCTGCTTTGGATGGCTCATCGAGACACCACTTCAGGAAGTATACAAGTAGTATATTAGAATAGAGCAGTGTTGAGAAGGTGAGAAGCCAGCAGACTGTACAGACGAGTTTAGTTCACACGAATGACTTAAAATATTTATAATTCTGTAGAATTTGTAGGAGATTCAATGTTGCAAGTATCAACTGTTTCTAATGTGCAGAAAAGCAGACATGTAAAATCATGACAGAAATTCTAACACTGCACCTTGTTTTTATATTGCTTGGCAGTCAAATGCAATTGTCTGTTTTAGGGATCCTTACACAGATGTCTCTGGGTTGTAGCAAACAATCCACAATAGAGGCTGAATGTATTATACATCTATTGATTAGTCTACTTGCTTCCTCTGACATGAAAGTTGTCAAGTTACCAAGAAACTAAGTGTCACTGAAGATTTGTGTTGCCACTGAAAACTACTCCGAGCTCTACAGTCATCACATTTTATCTCAAATACACTCTAAATTTTCTATGAATCATACTCTCTAGTGACAAGGTGCTACTGTGAAGAAAAGGCAATGCCGTTTAAATCTACAACTGTCAATAGTTATCTGAAATACATGTATAATAAAATCTTGCAAAAAAACATGATTTTCAAAGATAGACTACTACAGATCAAAATGATATTGAAACTTTGATTAGTGTTCACCTCACCCATTGTCATGAGAGGAAGTGAATCATAGGAAAGGTGTATGGTTGGATGGTTTGTGAATTCAGGATCTATTTATCCACTAACTCTCAAAGATCCTACACATCTCTTCGAAGTACAATAATATGATTCATTACAAATCGCATTTAATTGAAAATTTATCTTTTTCAGCAGTCATTGATGACTGAGGAATTGCCCTGTTACATTAAACTTCTGCTATAAACTACTTTTTTTAAAACCCATTGCTTTGATACTACATATCTTGTACCTTGAATGGACCTCTTTATTTTTAACGAATACAAGTTCTTAGTTGACCTGAAGACCTTTGTAAGAATCTTGCTTTTGTCTGATTATCCTTATGAAGGATTGGGCTAATCACACTATGGTTCATGGATTAGTGTTCATCAGCAAACCACACTAAGATGCAACAACAGAAACAAGCAAAGAGGGAATACAGTGTACACCCCCCGAAATGCAAGGCTACAACAGCCTGATCAAGTTAATGCAAACAACTTTAAGTGCAAAGAAATGTTCAGACGAGCTTTTTGTTTCCTCCACCTCAATACCATAAGCCAGCTTCACATTGCACACATCAAAACCAACTTTATTCATTTGTATGAGTACCACAGGACCCATATCAAATATGATACGATGCAATGTTGACAGTACAAATATATTAGCGACAAAAGACAAGACTAGCTTAAAATAAGATGTCACGACTGGTTTACTGATTCATCAATAATGTACAAAGACTGGCCTACAACATCAGCAGAGGGACACTTGTAAACATATGCAGTATTAATTCGATATAGGCATGGTGAAAATTAAAATACACTAAAATTACAACATAAAATTTGTCATTTACAACAACTAGAGTGAAATACAATCATTGAATTATCAGTCCCATGCTCTCAGAAAAACATAAAATATAGACTTGTAAAATATAGCCAGCACCTATAAGCACATCTTGGACGTTATGTCAACACTAAAGTTGGACATCAACAGATCTACCTTTTTGCTAATAGTTTCTCTGCATTTGCAAATGACAGACTTCTGTCGAATTCAGGAAGAGAGTGTGAAACAATATTATGATGTTCAATGTATATATATATTTATATGTGCTGTAACAAAAGTACTCATAAAAAGTGAGGGGTGGTAAATATCTTGAGCTGCAGTAGTGAACGTAGACTACAGCAACTCTGCGAGATTGTTATTTTCTTTATGTACAGCTGCATCATTGGAATCCATTCATTTTGCATGCATCTCAGGGGCAGTCTAGTCCAAGCATATATACAAGGAAAAAATTGATACGTTGAAAAGACCTGTCAAACAAGCTGTTCTCTGATTGGTCCAACTGTTAGGTATTGGGGTTGAATAGCCAATCAGTCACAATGTAGCTTTGAGTAATCACATTTGTACCAAAGATTTAGAACCAACAAAATATGCGTCGTAGCTGAATACAGAAATAGCAATGATGAACAAGGAATAGAAATAGTAGGTACTGCTGCTCAATGCAGTACTCGTGGAACATTGGTTTTTTAAAAGCCGAGAAATCATATCTGTTGAGAGTCAAGTTCATGTGTATATTCAGCTGAGATAGTTTACACAATCCAAAGAATTTCTTAAAAATTCAAATTTTATTACGTCATAATTAGCACACCCACGACACGATGTACATTCAAATTGATAGCAAATGGGACGGGCACAATGCAACACATCTCAAGAAAAACAACGAACTTTGTCAGCTGAAATATCTGAGATGCGGTGAAGCCAAAGCCCAAACAAATTCTAAGTAAAATGAACGGTTTAATACATAGCATACTTTGCACAACACAAAGTGCCCGACCCCCTCCTACCTCATTCCTTGAACAAACTACGAATACGCTTATTGCATTGACAAAATGCATTTGTTTTTTCTATCAATTCAATAATTATCAAGTTACAATAGATTAATACAATATTATTTTGCACACACACTTTTGAGACAGCTGTATGTGGTCACTTTCTTCAAACCATCAAACTTTTACATTGACTTGACCAGATAAGGGTAGAAAAAAAAACTGTAATCCTGCATGTTACATGCATTGTATACAGTTGCATGGGACCCACATAAAACAACACTACAACTGTGGTACAATTTCTGTTGTTGAGTTAAATTATGTTTTAAAGTGCATAATGGACATCTAATGCCACACTGATGCATTTGAGTCCAAGCATATATACAAGGCAGAATTTGATACTTCAACAAAATAATCTGGTCTTTGATTGGTCTAACTCTTGGGTGTTGGGTAGCCAATGAGGCACACTCTTGCAAGCAGCTTTACTGTATTAAATCTGGAGTTGAATAGTATGGTTTTCTGTCAACTCGTTGAAAGCCATATTTCACAGCCAATTTTAATGCATTTTTCTTTAAGTTAAATTAGGATCAAATTTTCCTATTCGCTACAGGTCTTCTACAATTTTGAAAAAAATGTGCCTAATATTATGCAGGTTGACATTGGCTTTTAAAGTTAAGCAAGTGGAATTTGGCAATATACCTACAATAACCAACAGATTTTGCAGCAAATAATTTGACCAGAAAAAAAAATTAATATAAAAATCACCACAAAATTGGTGTTTTAAACAAGTACATTGACTTTATGTACTTTTAAATTCAAATCTGAATAATTGTTCTGAGGCTAAATCATAACTCCCTACAAGCCTCGATAACGGTACAACTCGCTTTCTGTCATCTTGGAGACAACCGAGTGAAACCATTATACAGGAGGGCATAGGTAGGAGAGGTTGAAACATTGAATAAAATAAATCCACACATATTTCAAAATGTCATAAAGATTCCACAATACGTACAAGATCACACATAAAAATAAATTTCAAAGTCTAATTGTACACCGGTAAAATACTGTATAATATCTAGCTATTACCAGGAACGTAATCAATAGTTTAGTAATTTTAAAAATGCAATTCTCAGGATTGTCAACGGAAAGCAGGATTAAAAAAAAATATATATGAACACTGATGGCATGGGCCTATGTGGGTGACAACCACAGATCTTAAACTCTGCGTAATAAAGAATTACATAAACCCTATATATTTGTAATGAAAGACAATCTGTGCAATTTATATTGGCTATTTCCTTATCAGTTATCGCAGGCATTTGTAAGTCAGATTTTGTTACACACAGTAAATATATAAGACAGACTAACACCATGAATTACATGTGAGCTTGTACAGAATAATAATCAAGTCTCAGACAAAGGCAAATATACAAAACCTTTTTTTTTTATAAAAAAAAAAAAGCAAGAGCTTTCAGAATAATAAATCCACCGACTACACTATGAAAATGATCATGTAACTAAAATGTACTGATTACTATGGCAACCAAAGCCAGCTATTATTAGTAGATTTAATTATCGTAACATTTTGTTGAAATATATACTCTGCCTGTTACATTTTTTTTTATTATTCTGTTGACAATGGATGAACCACAGCAGTAACTTTGGGGACACATTTGTTATAATTGAATACCCAGAAAATATATAAAAAGACAATTCTAGTATTTTTTTTTTATTTTACTTTCATTTTTTTGCAGATACATCATGAATTATTTTTAAACGAGAATTGAAATACACATAGTACTCTTTCTGGTGAGGGTTACACCATTTCAGGTTGGCGTGTGTATATATATATATATGGATTGCTTTCACTGAACTGAAAACTACTGATCAATGTCTAGATAGGTCAAAATCTCTGTGAATTTATCACTATTAACGAATGCATCATACTACTAAAATAGTTCATTTCCACAACTAGTGATGGCTTCCAAAATGCGAGCATGCCCTTCTCT